TCTCTTACAGGTATTTTATTTTTAACTTTTATAAGTCGTTAAAATGTATTATATCTTAGACATTTTGTTTATATTAATGTATTGTTATTTGAAATAAATTTGTACTTTGTTATAATAAATGTAAATTGTATTTCTAAATAATAAATGTATCATCATTCTTTGGTATTTTAATAAATAAATAAACAATGTATGCCTTTTTAATTTTATTCTCAGCCTTAAACAACCGTAAAAAATAAAATAGCACAAATACTATAAAAAGGAAAATAATTGTCAAGTTTTGAAAATAACCAGAGCCATCGTGTGTTCAGGAGCTGAACAATTTGTAAGATATGAAATATTCTCAATTTTTACCCACTACACACTACCTCAAATTAATGAGGAAAAATTGTTGGTGTTGTCACACCCCCGCCGGGGTTTAATCTGTTCGGTTAACGAATCTTCCTAAATTAACGTGTAAAATTACAATTTTTTAAAATTTCAACAACTTTTTAACGGTTTAGTGAATCGATTTATAATTTTTACAGGAGTTTTAGAATTGAATGAGGAACGTTCTTCCAAATTTTATTTGTCTCGTAGCATTTTGACATAGCTCCCAAACAATGTGCTCTTTGGTGAAATGAGGAGCAGCGAGGCTCGGAGAAGCGCGCAAAAAAAGGTTGTTCGCTCTTGGACGTAGTTTTGCTACCGATATATTTGAATGGTAATTGTAATAATAATAGCGCATCTAGAGTAATAAAATAAACAACATAATTTAAGAAAAATGTTAGTAGGCAAGGTGAATTCAGACGAGGAAGACTTATTTTGTATTTCTATTTTATGTGAAACTGAAGAAAGTAAAAAAGAAAGAAAAAGTTACTTTGCTGATTCCTAAAATTGGTTGCCAATTACAACAAAATGCGTTTATAAATATCCTCGACGAAGAATTCGAAGCAAGTTTTCGCGTTTCTAGTCGCCAATCTTCCGATAAATTACTAGATCTACATTAGAATCAATGAAATATATTTTTTTCGCCGTTCTTCGTTCTTCCAAAGTGTATGTTGTGCTTTACCAGTCATTATTGGTTAGAAGCGCCGGCATTTAGAAAATTCCCTGATTGCAGGCGCTCACTTATTTAATTAAATGACTGGTGAGAATATAAATGCACATAACGATCGACGAATAAGTATCTTGTAACCTGAATAATCATCTTATAACCTGAATGATCGGAAAAATTCCATCTAATCGTAAATTCGTCCAGTGGAGCTTTAATTATAAACAAACGAACAAAGACTATGACGGAAAGATGTTGCATTTTATAAATAAAAGGATGGGGAAACAGAAGAAAATAAGATATGTAAAAAATGTTAGGTTCTAGGAAAGATTCCCTAGCCGTGTATAAAGTATTTAAATAAACAGGGTGTTTTAATGTGAGCCCGCTTACGTCGGATTTCTAGTGTTTCACTTTGTTATTGTTGCTTGTGTAACATATACGTATCAAATTGACAAAAGAAACACGAACGAAATTTGCCAACTGATATATTATTCCTGGAATATTTTTAGAATGCCTTGTGTTTCTTAATTACAAATGAAATGGCGGAACTTTTTTCGTTCGGTTCCGAAAATTACATCCGTTCTGACATTTATCTGCAATTGATTTTCACTATAATCGCGATAAACATATCTTATGGTTTCCTTTAAGCAAAGTAAATATCCTGTTGCCTTTTTGTAAAATGTCATCTTTCCTGTACAAGCACGTAAAAGGAATTGACGTTTATGGCATGATGGGACTTAGCCTTCTTATAAATCCAATTATGTATTAATTGTTTGCCGTTTCGTATTTGAATGTCAGCAAATGTAATAGTTTGCATGGAAGGTGGACGGGTGGCTCATCCGCGTTCTTCTTTTGCTAAATGTTACTTCTCATGTTAGCTATTAGCTATAAATCTACATATATACAGTGCATCACAAATGCGTTACTGAGGACAGCACATAGTCTACATAATACCGTTAATAAATTATTATTAACGTTATATGGACAGAATAGTTCACTTAGACCACGGTCCTATAGCCCGAATCTTCATTCTACTATGGATTCCGGCCGTGAAAGCCTTTGTTCTTATTATTGAAATTATTTATCAGAGATATTTAAAAACAGTTGAACTCGTAATATAACTCGAGTTTCTGATGATTTGAACGAAATTGGAGTCGACAGTCAGAATTAATTTAATAATTATTTGATATACGTCGATTTAATTTGTTCCTTTAATAATTTTACAAGGATGAATTTTCTTCTAACAAAACAAATTTCGTATAAAGATAACGTAAAACGAGAAAAAAGCGCAAGTATTGTTTCCTCCTTTCCCTTTGGCTGTTTTACTCTTATCGTCGACGATCTTCAGCAAACAAAAGAAAATAATAATACGTGTATATAAAAGGCCCTCGGGCATTCTTATCAACTTAACAGCACCGTTGTAATTACTACGTCTAAAAGAAGCTAACAATACGAGTGTAAAACTGCGTACGTAAACATTCTTGAATAACTAGGTAGTATTACTCAACATAATTCGTTCGAATTTAAATGATGATGATTATTAGGTAGCATTGACAAGTCTGTAGGTTGTTTTTTTCCATTCATTATTTCACTATTCACAAAATACAAACGTTTGAAATTAGTGAAGTATTATATCTTAAGGATGTTTGGGAAGTACAATCGGAGACAAGAGTACATAAAATTATAAATTTGTGATTAATTAGGTTTTGCAGCATATCATGAGGTAAATAAATATACTATCTATACTAAAAAAAAGTATACGGTTTGAGAGAAAATTTGGAATTTGACCAAAAACTTTTCAAAAAAAAAAAATTTCGCAGACCTGTGAATTGATTAATATTACGATTCGTTAATATATGGATAACAAGGGTTGTGCAATCAATTTTATCAATTTTTATAGATTTTAGCCACATCGACATTTAACCCTAGATGGAGGGCTTTTCCAAGATAGATTTTCTAAAGTAATGTNACAAAATGTATTAGAAAACCACTTAGCCAAGCTTTATTGGGATAGAGACATAATTACAGACAAAACTATTAATCATAAGAGACCTGACATCATACTGACCGTCAAAGAAACTAAAACAATCTACCTAATAGATGTTGTTCTACTGAAAATTTTAAACAAAAACATCTTGAGAAAATTCAAAAATACATTCCTTTGGCAGATGAAATAAAAGAAATGTGGAGTCAGAAAACAGTTCGAATTATACCAATAATGATATCATCAATAGGCTTCATATCTAAAACATTACACGCTAGCCTAGCCGAGTTGAAACTGCATAAGCTTACGTATGTAAGTCCACAGAAATCAGTAATCCTTGATACATGCGGAATAGTACGCAGATTTCTTAACAGCACTGAGATATTCCCCTTTTTAGAAAACACAACAGGCTAAATTAAAAGCAGAATTTTTAATGATCACCGATCATATTTCAGGTCAAAAACTACTGTTAGCTCTATTAAATTTAAGAGCAGAAAATTAGTTTCCATATCGTATGCCAAAAGATGTGAGTGAGGTTGTTTGACATTAGCCCGTCTTCACTTGCTCAAAGTTTACCAGTGGAAACTGAGAACATCAGGATAATAATGAAATAATCAAAATGTAAAATCGACGTCAGTCTACTATAGTCATTAAAAATGTAGTCTATATTTTTTCATTATAAACTAATGTGACTTAATACGCTTATGAATTTTTATGACATAACCAAAACTGTTCTTTTTTGCACCATTCTTTAACCTATACATTCATTAGATGGTTTGGTAGTAGTAGCCTTGATGTGTGCTCATCTTCACAGAGAGGACGAGTACTTTTATTTTATGTATATACGTACTTAGGTATTGTTAAACGATACTTTAGATGTGGTACATGTAACTTGACGCATATACAGTTTCAATAACACTTTAATGAATACAATTGAATGAAAGAAAAAAATGCGAGGTCGCCAGACTGTAGAAGTGTTTAGGAGGAAGTAATCAACTCGCTATTAAATGGGGAGCGTTAAAAAATGTTCTAGACGATTAAATAAGGAAAAAGCAACATTGAATTGGAATATCTGGAATTTGA